AGAGCTTGCACATGCTGGGGGTGTCTCCAAACTTCCACGTGGGACAACCCCTCTTCAGTCCCCAGTCCTGGCAAAACGGCCACCCAGTGGGGGCGGGGCGGGGGCCAGTCCTGCAAACTCTGCCCCCCCCCCAATTCAGGGGGAAAGAAGAGAAACCCCCAGAGCAGGCAGGCGGATTCCAGCATACTCACCAGGGTGGTCGAGCTGCTGCTGCTGCTGGGGAGTCCCATTGCAAAGCCCCCCCTTCGGCGCTTTCCCGGGGGCTGCGCGCTCCCAGCAGCGTCCCCTGTTTGTTGTTGTGCTGAGCCTGGGTGGGCGGGGGCGAAGGAGCGGGGGGGGGGGGGGAGCTGCAAGGAAGCCCAGCAGCAGGCAATGCCCTGGGTGCAGGACGGGGCCTGGAGGTGTTTGCACCCCCCGGCACACCTGTGACCCACTCCCCAGATTGAGATGGGGGAGGAGAGGATTCAATTCCCCTGACCCCCCACCCCACCAGTCCAGCGTGCCGCCTTAAGAGCTCTCCCTCCCTTCCCGGGGACGACCTTAAGGAGGTGCGAGGCACTTTGCCAGCCCCAAGCCAGGTCTGCTGGGGATTTAAGGAGGCCGGAGGAGATGGCAAGACGCCTTCTCCATCCTTCCAGCTCGGGGGGGGGGGCGGCTGGGTGGAGAAGGAGACAACACAAACAGCTGTGCAGGAAACTGGCGGGGAGAGGAGGGCTTGTCTGGCTGCTTTCCCCTGAGCTGGGGCTCATGCCCTGGGAGCTGGGCTTAGCCATGAGTAGGGAGCCTTTCCACGGATGATCCTGACCCATCCTTGCTGGGGTGACCTGTGGGAGACTGGCCAGAGCACCTGGGCACTTTGCTGATACCTTCCATCTCCTGGGCAGCCCCCACCAACAGCCTTCCTGGTTAAAGGGGTTCCCCGGGGAGAACTGGGTGCAGCGGCTGCCTGCCCCCTTTCGGCCCCAGACAGGCTGCCGCTAGCATACGGAGATGCAGGTGGATACGCTCTGCACAAGGCCAGGGCGTGTGTGCCTGGGGGCGGTGCAGCTGATGCTCAGAACTGGGATCGTGCTCTAGTACCTGCATCTTGGCAGGAGGTCAGACTAGCCGACCCTCGTGGTCCCTTCTAGCCTTATGGTTCTACCTTTTTGTCTTATGACATACTTTTGCCTGGGAGTGGTGTTTTTTCCCCATGGCCTGCTCCACAGTCATGTGGGCTAGAAGCTTTGATAGTCTCTCCTAGGCAGTAGCTTCACCAGGTGAGTTCCTTTCCCGGATCAAGCCACTCGATACCATGCTCAGCTTGTCTCCGCTCAGAGTTGCTCTTGGCATATCTTATGTATGAGAAACAGAGAGGGCAGAACATAATAGGGTCCAACTCTGTCCTAAGATGCACTCCAACATCTCCCATTGAGATCAGGAGTAATTTTGCAAACATATCCGAAGGAAGAACTGGGTCTAATATGTGTCCTCTCTTCACACAGGGCTGAATTTTACTCCTGGTGAGTAGTAACTTACACCATGAATAATCTCCCTGGTTTTAATGGGAGCAAAGTCTACAGAGTAAAGTGCTACTCAACGTAGCAGAATTGGGCCCATAGCTTTCAGCCACCGCAGATGTAGGGGTTGCTTGCCAAACTGAACATTGTAAGGAAGTGTAAATGCCCTAGAAACTTCTGCATGTTCCCATGTCCATTTTATACGGTAATTATGTAGGCCTAGTCTCTTGCATATTCCAACTGGAAGCTGACTACCTGTCTCTCTCCACTCTCAGCTAGGCACATTCAGGTCTCACGATGGGGACTATTTTGTAGAGCCGCTGCTATCACCTGATGACCAAGAATATGAAGAAGAGCACAATAAGCCACATGTGGTCTACAGACACGGTGCACCTCAAAAAGACTCACCAAGGGAAAGGCACACTTGTGATACTTCAGGTATTCGTTTGACTATTCCCCATACAGTCACTTCCATGATACTGCATTGCTGAATTATAAACCATTTACCGTGCTATGGGAGGGGACGTTGGCACTGTTTGGGCTAGAAGTAATTGTGGGCGTGCGGTATTGTGAACGTCTAGGTGTGGTGCTCTTTGCTTTGGGGATAGTCTGTTGCTATTGTTCAGGTGAGGTACATCTTGTCTTTGACTTCTAATTTAAGAAGGTCAACCGGAGGCCAAATTCTACCACTTCCATCGCCACCGTTGATCCCAATCATGCCTACCGTGAGGTAAAGTAGTCATCTCTGAGCTCTTGTGGCTTAAATGGCTTCTGTGTCTGTACCACCTTACTTCTCTTCCCTCCTAACCATAAGCCCTAAAATACACAATTTTTCCTACACTTCAGCTGAAACTCACTTGTGCCTTCAACTTCCATCATCTTGCTTGCTTTATTTCCTTCCATCGTGGTCTTTCTAGGCCCGATCTCTCCTTACCTGAATTGGTCCAAAATGCAATGACTCGTTTCTTCTCCCAACCATTCCTCTTCCTTGCCAGAGGTTACTTAATGCTCTCACTGATTAATTTACTTCTTGGGGCTCCTGTTTTCTCCCCATGTTCGGGCACCACTCCTTAGTGTACTAAACCTACAGATGCCTCTTGTGTGGTATATTGCAACTTAAACACTATGGGCATGAATCTGCCAACCTTACTCAGGCTGAGTGGTATGGTTACTTTTCAAGTAGGTGGGATTACTCATGGAGTAAAGGTATGATTTGATGTGAGTAAGAGCAGAAGAATATGGTTGCTTGTATGCATTAGCGAGTACACAGTGAGAATCTCCTTTGGACTATTATGTGATGCAGTTGTATTGTATTAGTGCTATACAGAATTTACATTGTATCTTACACTTGTGGCTCATTGTGGGAGGGAGGATATAGGCAGTGGTTTTGCCATTCAAATGTAAGTCTACATAGAGCTGGTATGGTGACAGAGTGATTCAAGGAGATGTCCCAAGGCACTGATCAAAGACCAAGGTAGATTTCATGGTAATGGAAGCATGGTGGTACACACACGTGCACACACATTTGGGGGAATAATGGTACATCTCACAAGGCTTTTATTGTTTGTTCTTCCAAGGGTTGCTGCTGGACTATGCCACTCTGGTTTCTCTCTTCCAGCTGTTTCTGCTCCCTTCTTTGAGATCAGATGCAGGAGACTCAGAACAGTTGGAAAGAAACACGGAATCTGGCACAATTCACCAGTAACCCCTGGAGGAATGGACCAGCAGATCTCGGAACTCCTTGAATCAAAGGTAGATGGAAAGGCCCTGAATACAAGGCCCTTTCCCTTTGTGGAGTGATCGCATATCGTTCAACCTTGTGCCGCGTCTAATAGTTTCAGGTCAGGTGTTCGTGCTCCACTAGCTTTCGCAAGAAATCAACCCGCTGTATTATTCTGCTTAATTACCCGGGTCTTTTTCTGTCCTCTGCTAATCTGCTGTACTTCCCCTTTTCCTTTGCTGCTTGTTCTTTATTGCTCCACACAGTGTGGAAAAAGAGAAGCCCCAATAAGTTACAGCTCCGTCCAAATAATAAGATTCAAAGGACCCAAAATAGGCAGCATGGTTCTGCCCTTCCCCCATTTCTGGTTCAACAATTTTAAGTGAATCTTGTGCTGGTGACAGGTGCTGTGTTGTTAACTGTGGACACTGAAATAGAGTAAGCACAGCATGGTCAGTGGCCATATGCACTTCCCTCCGCTGGCTCACCAATATTCTTCCGCCTTCACCAGGCCCTAGAGGCAAGAGAGAAGCTCAGATGACTTCAGGGAAAAAGTGAAGCCCAGCAACTTTTTCTCAAGTTTATCTTTAGGAGTCAGTTTGGAGTCACCTTTGGGCAAACTGCCGCGTTCACATAAGCCAGGGGAAAAGGAAATGATCTCATTAGAATTTATGAGCTCAGTTGCATTGTACCTGGGATCTGTAGATGACATTAAACTTATACTGTTGCTGCAGCCAACATGTGAAAAGTCCATTTGTACTGCAAGCTAATGGGGAAAACGGAAATCCGCCAAAAGCGGAAATTCAACCCCAGAAAAGACTTAAACCCCAAACCTGCAATGAGCTTTCCATGGGCAGACCCTTTTGCAAGACTGTGGCTTTATTAAATCTCTCTCTTAGAGGCTGCTGTGCACAGAAACGATTTCTACACAACATAATGTTTTCCAAGTATGTTCTTAGCATAATGAAGTAGTTGTAGACATCCTACAGTGTCTAAGAAAAGCTTTTCCCCCTGAGCTATGATTAATGGATAAAATAGGGTCTTTCATTTCCAGTGATCTCCAGGAAGCATTTATCATTAATATTATTAGTTTTCACTTGATCGGGTCAGCGAGGGAATGCAGGCATATTTGTCTTTTTGGTTCTGCTAAATTTTAATTAGCCGTTTCTTATAACTGCTTTTTAGATACATGCAGTGTGGGCTCTCCTGACCACATGACCTAGCTCTTCTGCCATACAGGTTAATGGACTAATGATGTGTGTTATAATAAACTATTGCCAAGGCTTTGCTGTTCAGTATAGCAGGCTATTGTAGTTATGCTGAGGTCCTGGGTTATGAGGCTGTTAATAGCAGCTTCTCCTTGTTCTTTCACTGTTGGCCTGTCCCATATCCTTCTCTCTGTGTCTTGCTTCCCGCCAGAGTAGTTTGGGAGTTAAGAAGCGGCCTTTGTACCCTCACTAACCCTTCCCTTCCTTTGGCCATCACAATAGAGTCCCAGAGTTTAAGCTGATCTAGTCTGATCCTCCTGGATGTCACAGGCCACCAACAGCTCCCAGCCCATGGATGCTAAACCCCAAAGCCAGAATGAGAGCAAAGTATCACAGCCCACAGGAGACTAGACTTTTCTGTGCCAGAGAATAGGAGGCACCAGTGTCCAGCGCACCCACAATATCAGGGAAATGATTAAATGAGATCTGGCAAGTGACCGCACCAACATGCTGCAGGGGAAGGTGAAAAAACCCCAAAGTCACTGCCAAGCTGACCTGGGGCAAATGCCTTCTTGACCCACATTTGTTGATCAATTAGGCCCTGAGCATATGAGCAAGGACTAACCAGCCAAGCCCCTGAGAGAGAGAATGCTCGGTGCCAGCGCAGAGCCCATCCCACCCAATATGTCATCTCCAGCTGTGGCCATTCCTGATGTTTCAGAGGAAGGAGATAAAAATCTTCCAAGCGTATGCTGGGGAAAACATCCCTTCCTGACCCCTGCAGGTGGCTGGCTGAAACCCTGAAGCATGAGCTTCAGGAGCATAAGACATAAACTGCAAGTGAGCCCCAGGGCTGCCTCCTACCATCACAAGCAACCCTTTCAT